ACCCGCAGCCATATATATATATAAAATAGGTGTGATGCACGGCCTACTTGGATCGATTTTCCGGCTCCCTTTTATACGAATTTCCGCACGTTTTTTAAAATCCCGATACTTATAATGCGAAAATAGAATCACGCCTTTGAGTCATCATTTTTTGATTCGTGTCGAATTCATCACTTTTTCGTAAATTATTCCATCTAGTTTTAAAAAAAAGTTGCGATGATCGAATATTGAACTATTTGAATTCTGAACTATTGACTATTGAATTATTAAAATCATATATATTGAGAAAACTCTTATTGATCACTTTTCGGTGAATAAAGATTTAATAACACAGGCCTGCGATGAAAAAAATTCAAGAGGTCTGATAGCTGACTTTATGAATGTTTTGGCGCTGAAATGGAAAACAATAATGAAAATTTTCCATCAGGTCACATTTTTTTGAAAAATTAAATTTTACTGAAATTTTTATGAACATTTACCATAAAAAAAAATTTCAATTTTTAGTTACTTCTCTTCTTGCGTGACCAGCATTCTACTTTGGTAAAATCTACAAGAGTACTCCTCTATGACATCTTTCTGTCACCGTCCCTCTCTCTGTCACAATATCTCTTGACCAATAGCGTCACGATATCTTGGTTCGCTGACCTCTCAGGAACACTAGTAAGGGTAATCGGGAGTCATTTTTTGGAAGTATTTTTAACGTCTGCTTCTCTCTGTACATTTTGTGAAACATGGCTTCGAGACGTTTTGAAAATTTCCCAAATGACTTTTGTTACATATGCGGCGAACATAGTGTTGTTTAAAATCGCATGAGGATCATTACAGACTATGTAAGACAACTTTATCTTGCGTATTTTTGCATGAAACTCGGAGATCAGGCCAAATCGTGGGCTCCTTATAAAGTCTGTGTATAGTGTCTAAATCATATACGCTTATGACTCCGAGGAAAAAAGACTGCCTTACGATTTGGAATTCCTATAGCATGGAGAGAGCCTAAGAATCACTTTGATGATTGTTATTTTCGTTCCTGCCATGTTCGTGGGTATAACCGGAAAAATCAAAGGCTAATATCTTATCTTGATAACACTCCATCAGCCATACTCCACGTTCCTCATGGACCTGATCTACCTGTGCCTCCAACTGAATTGGCAGTCATCTCTTCAGACTCGGAACATCCAGAAGTTCAAGGCTTCGATATCGAATATGAGCCACCTGTAGCCGGTTTCCTCTTCCCCTTTGACTAGAGATCTGGGCCTTTCGAAAGAAGCAGTTGAATAATTGTTAGACTTCAGATTGAAAAAAAACTTATTGGCCAAAGGAACACCTTTTTATTGGTACCGGAATCGAGAAAAAAAATTTATTAAGTACTTTGACGAAAAGGAGAGCTTGGTCAATTGTTCTGATGTTCCGGTATCGATGAGCAAATTTAATGTCATCTACGATAAAGATGAGTGGAGGCTGTTTATAGATTTATCTAAAAGAAGTCTCAAAGCTGTCCTTCTTCATCATGGGAGCCAGTATGCATCGATACAAGTTAGATACTCGCTATATTTAAAATAATGCTATGAAAATCTGACTCTCGTCCTAGACAAAATAAAATATACTGGTTACAGTTGAACCATTTGCGGTCATTTGAAAGTTATCTCCATGATTCTTGTTCAACAAGGGGGATTTACAAAGTTCTCATGTCTCATTTGTGAGTGGGGCAGCCATGACAAGACTCACCATTGAATAGAAAAAGAATGGTTGAAAAGTTAAAATCTTGACCCAGGCTCCAAGAATATTATTCGAAGCAGCTTAGCTCATCCAAAAGAGTATTGTTATCTCCCTGTAAACATAAAATTAGGTGTAATGAAGCAGTTTGTCAAGGCTGTTCCAAAAGATGACGATTGTTCCAAATACCTGTGAGATAAGTTTCCAGGTTTATCTTAAGAAGAAAGAGGGAGTCTTTGATGGTCCAGATATCCGCAAACTCATGAAGGATAAAGTTTCTGAGACTAGCATAGGACAACGGAAAAAGAAGTTTGGGTTGCCTTCAAAGATGTTGTCAGTAAATTTCTGGGAAACTACAAGGATCCTGACTGTAAAGCATTTGTGATGAAAATGCTGGACAAATTAGAAACTTTGGATTGCTCCACGAGTGTCAAAATGCATTTCCTTCTCTCACATGTGGGCTTTTTCCACGAAGAAGTAGAAGCGGTCAGCGAAGAACAAGGTGAAAGGTTCCATCAGAGATATGAAGCTTAGGTGGTACAAGAACATGCTCGACGACTACTGTTAGATGTTAACTCGAGATAGGCCTGAGATTAAGCACAAAAGAAGATCACCAAAAATAAGTTTTAGAGAAAAATGAGCATGTACTTATGTAGAAACATTTTTCCTTTGTTTTGTTTTTTGTTTAAAACTTTCATGTACACATACACAATATTTGCTAATCTTGGTCAATCGTTAATTTTACGTAAGTTACCTTAATAAAAATAAATTAAAATGGCATGTTGGTGATGTTCTTCTAGAAACTGATGTAAAAAGTTTAAATTCAAGGAACTTATTGTTTTTTTCTCTCGACCAGAGGTGGCTTGTACGATCTGGCAACAGTATTTTTCATTCATTTTAACCTACAAAAAATTAGCCGGTCGCTCATAATGTTAGTTTACCTTCACAAGATTCAATTTAAAAATATCGAAATGAATAAAGAAGAACAGTTACCAGATAGTAAATGCACAATTGTTTGAGTGAATTCCTTTCCAAATAGGATTTTACTAAAAACATAGATATCGATTTTACAAAAAATCCTGAAGTGATGGTGAGAAATGAAGGTCATTTTCGGAATCAGCACATCAAATAGCATATAAATCAACAATAACTTCTCTTGTATTTTTCAAAACCTTCAATTTCGCAGGCTTGTGTAATAATTGAAAAAAAAATACTGATATGTACATTTATTTAAAAGTGTTTTATGTCTTGGGCCTTACTATTCGTAAATTGCTAGACTCTATGCATATGTTCTATTTCTCCCTTGGGGGGGGGGGACCTTCTGATTTTTATGATTTGTTCCAAACTTTTGACACGTCTTCCCTTTTTTTCCTTTTACAGGGTTAGAAATCGAGAAAATTTAGTCACTGGTTTTAACGACCAATAACTAGACGATATTATTAGTCCGTACACTCTTTCACCTTTCCGTTTTCACTTCTCTATTAGAATTTTTATTTTGTAAGTCATTTAAAGGGAAAGTGACAAGATAAAGAATGTCACAATCATGATGACATACATTATTTTGTGACAAAAACATAGACCTAAACAGCATGCTCTTCCTCTACATCAATGACTGGCCTAGAGGACCGCTGATTGTTATTTTAGAGTCCTTCCTCCTTCACTGCCGTGACAGCCCCGGGTGGGCCCCGGTCTTTCGCATAATTTTATCCCAAGTCGTCCTGTTCTTAGCCAAGGATTTCGATTTTATTACTTTTATAATTTTAAGATCATTTTCAAAGCTGTCATACCATCCAAATATGGGTCTGTTTTTTTCGAGTGGCGATTGGCTTAGCCGCAAATGTTTATTTTATGATGCCCTAGTCAAACGTGAGTGGTCTCGAACCCATGGACCACTGTTAATTTTGAGTCCTGTTCTTTTTTTAAAGTATAAAATCAAGTTCAAAATCGCAATGTTATGACGTTGAACATCTACTCTATGAATAGATTCTTCAACTTAGCTAATCAAACGAAGTAATAAAGGAGATTTCGCATTTTTACTTTAACTTCCGTACGCTCCCGTATGTAAGATTGATGCAACTGCGCATGCTCACATTTATTTTAGATGCTATTTATCTTTACGTCATGTTGGCGTGATTAACGCTGCAAAGACAAAGCTACAAGCACGCTGTTTATAGTTGTTAAATGTTGTTTTCTGCTTAAACCAACCTTCGAACTAAAAACATGGACGGTGAATTTGAAGATATGCATTGATGAAATTTTGAAATGAATCGTGTGATCTTACAACCATTTTTTCATTCAATAAAAAAATAATTTTATTGG